GGGGACAACGTCGTCGACCGTCTCCGAATCACGTGACGCCGGGGACAACGTCGTCGACCGTCTCCGAATCACGTGACGCAGGGGACAACGTCGTCGACCGTCTCCGAATCACGTGACGCAGGGGACAACGTCGTCGACCGTCTCCGAATCACGTGACGCCGGGAACAACGTCGTCGATCATCTCCGAATCACGTGACGCAGGGGACAACGTCGTCGACCGTCTCCGAATCACGTGACGCAGGGGACAACGTCGTCGACCGTCTCCGAATCACGTGACGCAGGGGACAACGTCGTCGACCGTCTCCCAATCACGTGACGCGGGGGACAACGTCGTCGACCGTCTCCGAATCACGTGACGCAGGGGACAACGTCGTCGACCGTCTCCCAATCACGTGACGCGGGGGACAACGTCGTCGTTGCATCGCTGTGGCGCAAGTGGCGCGTACCCCACGTGGCCGCCACGATTGACAGGCGTAGATGTTAACTACCTCGCCTGGTACACAGGAGGTCGTGGGTTCGATTCCGAGCCTGATGAGATGTTAACTACCTCGCCTGGTACACAGGAGGTCGTGGGTTCGATTCCGAGCCTAATGAGATGTTAACTACCTCGCCTGGTACACAGGAGGTCGTGGGTTCGATTCCGAGCCTAATGAGATGTTAACTACCTCGCCTGGTACACAGGAGGTCGTGGGTTCGATTCCGAGCCTGATGAGATGTTAACTACCTCGCCTGGTACACAGGAGGTCGTGGGTTCGATTCCGAGCCTGACGCCTGCTGCTGCTGTATGTTTGGAGTTTGTGTGTCTCGCTCGCATCATCATCATGGCCACGGTGGCTAGGAGATGTTAGCGTCCGTCGCCTGGTGTACAGGAGGTCGTGGATTCGATCCCGAGCTTGCTCTATATTTGGAGTGTGCGTGTCTCTCTCTCTCCCCCCGGTGATCGCGTAGACTTGCATCCGAGTCCTCTGGTTCCCCCCCCCCACCCCCTCCTCCGCTTTTAGAATCAACGTCACGCGTTCAGAGTATTTGGCTGCTATACACTTCCACATGATCAGCCGCTTCGTTCTCACTTGTGATAGCCAGGTCGCTTCTGAAATAAATAAATATGCTTTATTGCTCAGTGGGCTTTACCCGGTAAAAATAAACAAAGGTTCATAGTTTATGGACAGCGCGAGTTCTACTCGTGGGGAGCGACGCACGCAGAGCGCGGGGGTTGGTGGATCACCGACAGATGTTGTTGTGAAACCCCCCCCCCCTTCCCCCAGGTGCCGTACCCTGGCCTTGGCAGGAGAAGGCGGTATGGTAACAAAATGCCGACTCCATCCTGTTCCACCTGTACGGGGCAGAGTGCGTGGTGTTTCCTCTGTGCGCTCCACTTGCCTCCCACACGTAAACACTCATTGAATGACCGAGAACACCGTTGTATATAGAGGACCGCAGAGCTTTGGGGGGGGGGGGGAGGGGGGTTGGTTCCGGCTCATACCACGTGGACGCTGCAGCGGTTCCTCCCCGCGCCTCCGAGTCGTCCTCTCTTTTCGAGAGTGATCAGATAGTGTGCGCCGGATCGTTACAAGTTGACATTAATGTTACTACTACCACCTTAATAATAATAATAGTAGTAGTAAGAATGAACTCGACCTATAACGCGCACGGCATCTGCGCAGCGAGTTCTCTTGCCGGCCGCGGATAGCAACAGCGGTGCTCTCTGGGTTCCCCCAAAGCCTTCACGAAACCACGCAGGGAGGCGTTCGTAGCAGCGGTGGATAGACTTCAGGTTGTTCTATTCTTTTATTTCAGCAGCGCGGCTCCACGCTGATGCGCGTGCGTGCGTGTGTGCGTGTAGACTCGGGCAGTGGGGAGCGGTAGTGTAGCGGTTAGCGCGCTACGCTATGAACCCGGCCATCCGGGTTCGATTCCCGCTCACGGCCAACACCCAGTGACGATTATCTGAACCGGTCCTGGGCATCCCCTAGGTCGACTCAGCCTAAAATGAGTAGCCGGTGCGGTGTGTAAACATCGCCACTGGGGAGACAAAGGCGGTCGGGCGTGGTGCTGGCCACCCACCCCTTCGTGTACCGTTCCGGTCTTCATCGGTGCTCGCTAACAGCACTTGCCCCTACAGTCTGTTACAGGCTACAGGGGGGGATCTTTGTCTTTGTCGACTCTGGCAGAGAGATTGCTCGTGGATGCGTGCGTGACGATGCAGGGGCGAGTGTCGACGTCACTCGACGTCACCGGGCGCGCGGACACTGCCCGTGATAACCGTGCCAGCCACACGCGGCTTGTTCGAGCGTCTCACAAGCCACGGGCGGGATACACTTGCTCCGTATTATGCAATGGGGCAGCTATTGACGTCAACAGGGTAGAGTCGTTTCTTTGTTTACTGTCTATTGTTGACTCGTTTTAATGCCGTTTCAACCGGCCTTGGCACTGCACGCTCGGGGCTTCATTTCAGCATAAGCAATAGTCTCTGTTCCCGGAATGTCTTCGTGTCAATATATATGTTTACTTAAAAAAACAAAACCTCGTGCATGCATCTATCGAGATACAGGGCAGTGGTTCTTAACCTAACAACAAATCGTTAAAAAAGAAGTGTAATGTTAATAAATACATAGGTTTGATGAAGCAAAGTAGTTGAACTTAAGTTGTATGATTTACCTTCTACAACAATCTGGCCATGTCTCGCACCCTCAGAAAGGGCATCTCGCGATGATTGGGCCCAAGGGCCACTGATGTAACGTGTGTTATTACGGACAGCCGTACCTTGTACGCTTCTGGTATTAGTAGTTGCCTTTGGGCCCAATCATCGCTAACTCCAAAGCCAACTCCGAGCAGAACTTCGGGAAAACATCGACAGTGAGAAATTCATCCCCGAGTACGGGAGCAGCCCACATAACGTAACAATGGTATTAAGTTGCGTGTTAAACAACCCCTATCTGTGCCTGGAAGTGCGGTATAGTTACAACACGAATGCACTGCAAACGTATGGAATTGAATGAAGTCTACGCATTGATTGTTCAACTCTCCCCCCCCCCCCCTCCTCCATTTAAACAATGTTTACATGCAGCGCTACGGTCAGGTTAATTCCACGCCTAATTATCTCGGTGGCGGAGCAGCTATAAACACCTGCGGGACATCTGAACCGACCCTGTGCCTTGCCCCCTTAGGTTCACGAACACGCACACGACAGCTTGGTGGAGTATGGCCAAACCACAGTGGCGCGGTGGTGAAGCTTTCATCCAACGGTGGATCGCAAATGTGCCGTAAGTTGCTAGGGGCCGTTCATAAATGACGTCACGCGATTTTTGACGATTTTCGATTCCCCCCCCCCACCCCTTCGTCAAACGGCGTCACAAAAAGTCAGACCCCCCCTCCTCAAATATGACGTCACAAAGCTCTGCCCCCCCCCCCCCCCCCAAAATAAAACATGCTTCAAATCGCTTTAAACTATTGGTCATTGTAGTGCGGATTTAATGTGGCGCTGCACTCTGATGTTGTAGGAGAAAACATTTATGAAAAAGTCTATTTAATTAAGTAGAACGTGTTGTCTGTATTTATTTAAAGTTGCGCATTTTGATGTGACGTCACATTGCTCAACTCCCCCCCCCCCCCCTCGTCACAAATGTCTGACCCCCCCCCCCTCCAGGTGCGTGACGTCATTTATGGACGGCCCCCTACAACATTCCAGCAGACCTAATGCACCGTATGTGGATTTGCTATGTTGTACATACGCGCATGCCACTGCCATTTGCCCATGAGTAGAGTTCGATCCCGACCCTGACGCCCGCTGTATATTTGGAGTTTGCGTCTCTCTCTCTCTCTCTCCCTCCCCGTGGTCGAGTGGAATTGTTTTTTTTCCCGGGTCCTCCCGTTTTTCCCTCCACATTTCGAAACATGCGTTTGGAGCATCTGGCTGCTATACATTTGCACGTGATGAGCCACTTCGTTGAGCTCTCATTTGTGGCCAGTATAAGAGCTACGTAGCTCAATGGGCCTTCCCTGATAGTTTTAGCTCCAGCCTGTACTCTCACTCGGCATGAGAATCAAATAGAAAGAAACAAAAAGCGCATTGAGTTGCTAAACAAATTCTCATATCCTGACAAATTCATCTTGCCCTGCAGAAGTTTAGTTGTGCAAGCCGTCGTCATCATTGAGCAACGCGTTCACCGTCTAGAAAAAAAATTCGTGCAGTTTATTGGAACAAAGGTTACGTTTTTTTTCACATCAACAGGATGGAATAGACGGGTACAGTACTTCCTTGCAAAGACTGAGTCGTACTTGCGAGCAGGGTGAAACAAATTTACATCTCGTATTGGGTGAAGAAACTGCGATTTGAACTTCGGTGAATGAACTGCAGGTCAGCCGCACGCGATAAGTGTCACCCAGTGGGTGTCAAATTATATAAAAAAAATCTTGCCTATACTTGGCACTCCTATCGTGCTTTTTTGTATTGTTTGTTGTTATAACGTTCTGACCTGGCGCTCGACTGTACGTCTGTAGAAAAAAAGCGCTTTATATATCATCAGATTCCTCTAGTATTAATAAATATTCTGATTCTGATATAATAAAAAAACAACCACCCCAAACGACGTTAGAGAGGAACCGATCACACATTGGGGATGAGTGAAAGTTCCTCGGCTTATTCCGCGTAGTTATCATTGTGAGCACTCACCCGAGTTTCACCAAATACCTCACTGTTAGCCACCTCGTGAAAGAGATTACAAACGGTCATCTCTCATTGCTATATGCACGACGTCTCAATTCCGAAACGTAGTAATCGTTTGACCAAACCCAGGGGGTCGGCAAACCGTAAAAAAGAGCTATTTTTTTATTCGATATATATAAAAAAACGGAACCCCACTCCCCCCCTCCACTTAAAATGCACGTGGTGCCTACGAGACGGTGGTGGTCCTTAACAAACAACGGTCACGAAGCACTCCTTAAAGAGCCACATGCGGCTCAGGAGCAGCAGGCTGCCGACCCCCCCCGTGACTAAACACAAAGCGTTATCTCGCTCGCCTGACGATAAGCATATCGCAAACAGCGTCGTATCGTGCGCGGCAAAAATATCGGCGTGACATCGCGCTCACCCAGTGGTGGGCGGACCCCGACGCAGGCGCCTCCCCGCACGGCTTCGCTACTAAAACCCCGCGGGCGAGACGCGAACCCGGCAAACCCAACATGCGGGCTCCCCGCGCGCGACTCCTCGCCGGCCTCTCCCCGCCGCTCTCCCCCAGGGGCTAAGAGTCTGCGTAGCTTCGCCTCAATAAGCGTCTGGCACGCCGCGTATTACAACCACCCTCCCACCCGCCGCCCCTCGCCACTCCCCACCCCACAACTGCCGGGGCCACTTCGTTCCGTGCGCGAAGTTCCGTCGATTGCTACGCCGCAGTCGTTTACTGCGAAGTTTCTGACGCGTCCGCGGTGCTGTTCTCCTTCCTCCTCCTCCTGCCGCCTCCTGCCGCGTGAGTCGGGGCCGGGCGCTCCTCACGGCGTTGGCGTCCGGGCGGGGTGGAGGAGGCGGAACGCGCTGTGGCCACGCGCGAACCCGGGGAAGAGCGACGCCGGGATGGGAGCGCGGAGGAGACCCCGAGGAGGAGGAGGAGCCGCCGCCGCCGCCGCCGCCGCTCCATCGCTCGGGTCGCTGCCGCTCGTGGCGCTCCTCGTCGTCGCCATGTGCAGGAGCGTCTCGTGTCGGGAGATGCTGTGCCAGAACATCACGGTGCCCATGTGCCGGGGCATCGGCTACAACCACACGTACATGCCCAACGACTTCAACCACGACTCGCAGGACGAGGCGGGCCTCGAGGTGCACCAGTTCTGGCCTCTCGTCGAGATCAAGTGCTCGCCGGACCTTCGCTTCTTCCTGTGCAGCATGTACACTCCGATCTGCCTGGAGGACTACAAGCAGCCGCTGCCGCCGTGCCGCTCGGTGTGCGAGAGGGCCCGCGCCGGCTGCGCGCCGCTCATGCGCCAGTACGGATTCGCGTGGCCCGACCGCATGCGCTGCGACCGCCTGCCAGTCCTGGGTGACCAGAACCGCCTGTGCATGGACTACAACAAGAGCGACACCACGCCGCAGCCGCCCGAGGTGAAGCCCACGGCGCCGGTCAGGTCCTTCAACCCGAGCAAGAACAGGGCGACCACCAGAGTTGGTGGTGGTGGTGGTGGCGGCGGTGGGAGCGGAGAGGCTTGCGAGTCCGGCTGCGCGTGTAGGGCCCCCATGGTGGCCATCGGCAGTGACAGGCACCCGCTGTACAACCGCGTGCGCACCGGCTCCGTGCTGAACTGCGCAATGCCGTGCCACGACCCTTACTTCACGCAGGACGAGCGCACCTTCGCCTCCTTCTGGATCGGCCTGTGGTCCATCCTGTGCTTCGTGTCCACCTTCACCACGGTGGTCACCTTCCTCATCGACATGGAGCGCTTCAAGTACCCGGAGCGGCCCATCATCTTCCTGTCGGCGTGCTACGCCTTCGTGTCCATGGGCTACATCGTGAGGTTGGTGGTGGGTCACGACGGGGTGATCTGCAACCAGGAGCACAGGCACGTCCACTACGAGACCACGGGCCCCGCGCTCTGCACCGTGGTATTCCTCCTCACCTACTTCTTCGGCATGGCCAGCTCCATCTGGTGGGTCATCCTCTCCCTCACCTGGTTCATGGCTGCCGGCATGAAGTGGAGCAGCGAGGCCATCGCGGGCTACTCGCAGTACTACCACCTGGCCGCGTGGCTCCTGCCCAGCGTGCAGTCGGTGGCCGTGCTGGCCACGAGCTCCGTGGACGCCGACCCTCTGGCCGGCATATGCTCGGTGGGCGCCCAGAGCCTGGAGAATCTGCGCGGCTTCGTCCTCGTGCCGCTCACCGTCTACCTGTGCGTGGGCGCCGTCTTCCTGCTGGCCGGATTCACGTCGCTCGTGCGGATACGCAACGCCATCAAGCAGCAGGGCGGCACCAAGACGGACAAGCTGGAGAAGCTCATGGTGCGAATCGGCATCTTCAGCATGCTGTACACGGTGCCAGCGATCGCCGTGGTGGCCTGCTACTTCTACGAGGAGCGCTCCCGCGACGGCTGGGCCAGAGCCCTCATCTGCCCCTCGTGCCAAGGTGACGAGGAGCCGGGCTCGCAGCAGCAGCAGCAGCAGCGACCCGACTACGGCATCTTCATGCTCAAGTATTTCATGTGCCTCGTGGTGGGCATCACCTCGGGCGTGTGGATATGGTCGGGCAAGACCGTGGACACGTGGAAAAGGCTCTGCTGCCGGTGCTGCGGTCTGGGTGGCAAATCGTCGGGAGCCGCGGTATACAGCGAGGTGCACGGCGGCAGTGGTGGTGGAGGAGGAGGAGGAGGGCACCATCACCATCACCACCACCATCATCACCTGGGCACGGCGAGCGGTGGGCCCGGGACGGCTGCTGGGGCGGCGCGGGCCGCCAGCAGCGTCGCGAGCTCCGTGTCCTGCCACAAGCCGGCGCCTCTGTCGCTCGTCTGAGGAACGCCGTTTTGTTGCCAGCGACACCACTCTGCTGCCCGGGGTCTCCCACCGCGTGGGGTTTTAAATTTAAAGTGCAACTCGGCGTCACTCGCCACCGCCACACGCACGGCACGCAGCGGGCCCTCGGTGTGTGTGTGTGTGCGTGACGCCGACGACTCCCCCTGAAGCACAACCACCAACCAGCAGCAACAAGCCATGTTTGTTGAATTTCGATCGCAGAGCTATACGTGTCTTGTGTAGAGTTTCTAAAGGATAACAATTGGACATTTGTTCTTTTCGAAAGGATGCACGAAGGTGGGGGAATCGATGCGCTCCTGGATGCGATGTGCACTCAAACGTTTACCGATAACTTGTAACTGTTTGTGAAACTAAGTGGCTGCTGGAGCTCGTGGTGCGCCTTGGTGAAGCGACAAGCGGACGGGCGGGCGGGCGGGTCCCGCTGGTGCAGGAGGAGGAGGTGGAGGGTTCTGAGCGCAGCCTCATTCCTGCTGCAGACGTAGCTGTCAACGCCGAGTTGCCTGTAACAACCAGCACGCACGCCACACTTCGTCTCGCGTGTGTCTGTGTGTGCGTGCGTCTGTATGCGCGTGCGTCTGTGCGTGCGTGCGTCTGTGTGCGTCTGTGTGTGCGTGCGTCTGTGTGTGCGTGCGTCTGTGTGTGTCTGTGTGTGCGTGCGTCTGTGTGTGCGTGTCTGTGTGTGCGTGCGTCTGTGTGCGTCTGTGTGTGCGTGCGTCTGTGTGTGCGTGCGTCTGTGTGTGTCTGTGTGTGCGCGCGTCTGTGTGTGTCTGTGTGTGCGTGCGTCTGTGTGTGCGTGCGTCTGTGTGTGCGTGCGTCTGTGTGTGTCTGTGTGTGCGTGCGTCTGTGTGTGTCTGTGTGTGTGTGTCTGTGTGTGCGTGCGTCTTGGGGAGCGGTAGTGTAGCGGTTAGCGCTGCGCTGCGCTACGAACCCGGCGACCCGGGTTCGAATCCCGCTCACGGCCAACACCAGCAGTGACGTTTATCTGTGCCGGTCCTGGTCATGCCCTAGGTCGACTCAGCCTCAAATGAGTACCTGGTGCGGTGTGTAAACATCGCCACTCGGGAGACAAAGGCGGACGGGCGTGGTGTTGGCCACCCACCTCCTCGTGTGCCGTGCCGGCCTTCATAGGTGCTCGCTAACTGCACTTGCCCCGACAGTCTGTTAAGGCTACACGGGGGGGGGGGGGGGAGAATATTTGTCCAACTCTAGTGGAGCCCGCAAGTGTTGTTACCTCGGCCGCAAGACGTAAATGGAAAGTGACAATCGCGTAACGTTATTTTCTTTGTAATTCTCAGTATTTAACAGTCCGCATACGTTCTGATAAGCTTAATACATTGACCGAATTAGCCTGACTCCCAATTCACGGCGATGTCTTTGTCTCTGCAGGGAAATCTCTGACACTCCGTCCCCCCACTACCCGCCGCCCCCCACACACACACACACACTTTTGAACGCCACAACTTACCCAAGATGTATTTATTATATTTCGCCACCGCAAATTACTGCTCGCGTGACAATTATGCTTCTCTAGAGCAGTCGATCTTCACCTGGGGTGCATCTCGCACTCCCTTGGGGAGGTGCGAGGTGGCCCTTCCCTGCCGGGGTGTGCGAGGCATGGACAGGTTATTTTTTTTCGAAGGTAATTAATCGCAAACAAATTAAGCACGGGTAAGTCAGTACACCTTACTTTTCCGATTTAAAGCTTTCGTGACTGCAGGGATTCATACGCTTGGTTCTTTCGGTAAAGTCGCCAGCACGTAGAAGTGAAATAATAAAATAATAGAAATAAAACAATAACATTTCCAGTGAGATTTTTTTTATTGTTTTATTTGTATTACTTTATTATTTCCCTTCTACGTGGTGACTTTACCGAAAGAACCAAGAATATGAACACCTTACTTTGTTTCATCAAACCTATGTATTTATTAACATTAATACTTTATTAACAATTATGAACCACTGCTCAAGATCAGACACCTCCCCCCCCTCTCTCTCCTCCGCCACGTGTTCGCAGTGCCACGCACACCAGCGGCAGTCGTCTTTAAGATAAGTTAATGACAGTACAGTACTGTAATGAGCTACACGTACGGTATATATAGACGTGACATGTGTAATTATTTGTACAGGTAGTTTATATGTATATACCGTTCAACGATTACATGACCCGCTGAGCATAATTGTACATTAAAGGACTGTGCGTGCAACTATATATATTTTTTTGACGAGAGTTCCAATATTTTTTAAAAACGAAGTGGAAATAAACTTTGGAAGAAAAACAAAACCGCTCCCTTTGTTTGTTATTGTTGTTTTACGCATCTCGAATTTCCCAACGACGTGAAACTCCGATGGAGAGAGGCTGACGCAAATGTTGTCCTAGGCAATGGAACGACGCCGAAGTTTCGCGACCAGCAGCGTTTTGGGTGGGGGGGATGGGGCGGCGGTGGGGTTGGAGGAGGCATTCATTGCAAATCCAGCAGCCACGTACGCACGCCAACCCTCTCGGAGACGTTCCAACTGTTTGTATTTCACTCGCCATCGGTGGCCCGTTGTTGTTTGCGCGCTTCGTCGGCCGCGGTGTTTTCCGATCGGCCGGCCATCGACGCAGCGACTCAGCGGCCCCTTCGAGCGTAACGCGAACGGACACCAATCACAACGATGATGAGGAGGAGGGGGAGGAGGAGGCCGCGTGGTCGGAAGCGGCGCCCCAGGCTAACGAGTTGTCAAACAGAACTATTTTCTAAAGCCCTGTCACATCTTATTATCGCGCGTGATGAGAGGGGGGGGGGGGGGGGCGCCGCGTACCGACGTTTTTTGGGTCTTTTTATAATGAGCAATACTCACAGACATCACTCTTACCTTACGTGAGTGCCGAGAGTTTACGGGGTCTTGCGGTTTTTTTTTGCATAAGGTTTGCCTGTCCGCACGCGTTATCTTATTTGCTAAACTGAACTTCTTTCGCACCGTGCGTAGCCTTCCGTGCTAATCGAAGGTGCGGCGGCGGCGGGGGAAGGTGACAACAAACTCAACACGAAGAGCAGTTCTGAAGAAATGAGTTCTCAATTGAGATGTAAAAGTGCATAGCTCCAGTGGCTTCCTAACGTCGGAAGGAAGAGCGTTCCAGACGGCCGCAGAAGCGCATCTGAATGCGCGCGACGCGGTGACCACCTCAGTATTTGTTCGATGGCCGGCCAAAAGCCGCTGCTGCGAGGATGACCAGAGTTGGCGTGATGGTTTATGCCCCTTGACGAGATCAGCGAGGCATCGTGGTTCAGTTGTGACACATGTTTGCAGTATAGCGCGGATGGCGGCCGTGGAGCTGCATGCTGTTGATGCACTGCGCTGAACCAGGCAAACCTGAGTTTGATCCACGGACACGGCTACTGACATCGGCAGCGAGTGGTATCCACCCCCTCTCTTTTTCACCAACCTGTGTTGACCAGCGTGGTGAAGTATGGTCAACTAACCACCTCATTACCGACGCAATATGGGGAGGCCTTCGTCCAACAGTGGAATGACATTTGACTATCTATCAATAGGATAATTACTGAACTCGCGTGTGGTTCATTTCAAAGTTATGCACGCGAGACAGAGACTGCATGCGCCTCTTGTATTGATGTCTGGCAGCAACACAGGAAATGTTTGCATTATTGAATTATTGTATAACCTAGGTAGGGTTTACATTTGGACCAGAGAACTGGCAAACACAATAGTCAAAGCCATTCAGTTATGAGTTCCGTAGGGATTTTTGTAAACTCTGGGAATTCCCCACGCGAATAGCTACGTTAATGCTGAAATTGCGCTGTCATCCCATTGAAAATTGGTCCATTGATGAACGAGCCGACTGCTGGCTTACCAGCTGCTTAGCTTTCAGCCACCTCGCAATGCAACCATTATTTCACGCCTCGATTAACCCTACTTGTGTAATCTCCCAATGACCTTTTGATTACAACCTCACAAGGCCGCGCGTTCCCGAAGAGCATCACTGTTAATAATGGACCGCATCACAGCAATCACATATTCCTCTCCAATGTCGCAGTCCGTTATTATAAGGAGTCAGTAACTGTGTATTCATTTGTCAATTGCTACATGCGGACAAATATCTCCCCGTGTTCTTGCCTCTTTGTCTATCGTGTCCAGCAGCAATTCTATAGTCGACCATCAGCCAAAACAACCTCATCATGAAGTTAACCTTATGGCGGGACCCCGGGGTCCCGAATAAACGGAAGTCAAAATCGTGATAAATGCATTTTTGGCGACTCCGTCCCACCGCGCACATGAACGCCAAGACCCACCTGGCGCGGATCGTTCTGTTGTCGTGTCGTGTCCAAGCGCAGCAGCGAGGACTAATGCGCAGAAGAGATGAACAAGCGAATGCACTCCACGCTCGGGTATTGGCAGGATCATAACAAGTCTCATCCAAAGCTGCTCAAACTGCCTACACGACTGAAGTCCTTTATTTGTCATAACGGTATGCATAATAATACAGTGAAACTGCTCTCTTGTCTTCATTATTATTTGTGACCTACCAATGTCTGCAGCCAGGATCAATAGATGACAATCCTATTACCTGCAGATATTTAACAGATGAGATGCGTTGCACCGTTAATTCCTCCTGTTTGATTATAATACTTCTCTTGTCCGTATGCATCTGTGCAGATAGGTTTTTTTGCGGTTAAGCCATAGTCCCCACATACCGCTCGTATCAATGCGGATAAGAGGAGCGGAGACCCACTACTCTGTAGAGTAACATTGGTATAAACGCTACTTATAATATGAACAGCACATTGAAAACGCGTACTATTTTACGTACTGTTTACGAAGTGTGCTCACAAATCCACACTGAGAAACGCGTTTTAAAGGCATCGTTTAACAAGACAACACTTACCACCATCCTTCAAACCCATTGGTGAAAAAGAGCAACGTTTTTAGTTTACATTATAATATGTTTATATATTATATATTATAATGTAATACATATTATAATGTTTATATATATGTAATATATATTATAATGTTTATGCGAGAGCCGGGGGCTTATGGGACCCTGGGGTCCCGCCATAAGGTTCAAGTGTCCAATTGCTTACGGTTATGGACACGTTTCGCCCGTGCCATCTCATTAGCCCAGCAGCCACTGTTGATCCATCGATAAGTTCATGCCTCCCTATTATTTTACCATTTGTCTTTTTGCCCCTTTAGTCATTGCCATCACATCATTGGCACCTTCAAGTGCAGATGGTGACCGGTCTCTATTCCGTGAATAACGATGATACAAGTCTTCCCCTGTGCTGTGATCGCTGTTTATGCAACAATGCATCAATTAATCGACTCAAATTGATGCTCGCACTCACAATACATGCACGGCAATGCACGAGCGAGAATTAATGTTTTTTTATTGATGCAAATGTAGTTTTTGTGTGACGTTTAGCACCACGGAGCGATCGAAACAGTACAAATAAAATCCAAAATACAACACAGACAAGTTAGGCAAGAACGGGTGGCTATGTGGCTCAGAGCTCTGATTGCTTAGCTGACACGGCAGAGACCCTGGGTTTGATATCTGGTCAAATCGCCAGGCATCAAACCGCCTTCTCAAGCCTATTGTGA